GCCGCCATGGCTAAAAATAGAACATAGGGGTCAAATGCAGTTTTTGGCTTCTATATCAAAAACTATAGCAGTTAGAGCAAAAGTGACATTGAGTTAAAGTGATGAATAAGTCAAGATCTTAAGACTATCTGCTATGAAATTTTCAGACCAATTGGACCACCCATTGTAGGGTTACTGTCCTAAATAGTTTATTTTATGAAATTTTACTGTTTTGGGCTATTTTCATTAATAATATAATAGATAGAGAGAAAGTGTAAAGGCAAAAATGTTCAGCTATGTACAAATAAGTATAATGATCAAAATTGTCAATTGACTCCTTAAGGAGTTACTGCCCTTGAAACGTTTATTTTTTACATTGTTTCGTGCAAGTCTATTACTTTTTCAAAAATCTTCTTCTCTGAAACTACTAAGCCAAATGCTTCTAAACTTTAACTTAATGTTCCTTAGGGTATCTAGTTAATAAAAATATATCCGAAGTTTTGATCCATCAATAAACATGGCCGCCATGGCTAAAAATATAACACAGGGGATAAAAGCAGTTTTTGGCTTATATCTCAAAAACTACAAAAGTTAGGAGCAAAAGCGAAAGAGAGTTAAAGTGATAAATGGGGCATGATCTATCTGTTATGAAATTTTCAGACGAGTTCGACAACCCATTGTCTGGTTACTGTTAGAAATATTAAATTTTACTGTTTTTGGTTATTTTCTTTAATATTATAATAGATAGAGAGAAAGTATAAATGGCAATAAATGTTCAGCTAAGTAAGATCTGCAAATAAGTCAACATGATCAAAATAGTCAATTGACCCCTTGAGGAGTTATTGAGGAGTTATTGCCCTTAAAACTTTTTTTTTTACATTTTTTGTGAAAGTCCAATTACTTTTTCAAAAATCTTCTACTCTGAAACTACTTTGCCAAATACTTAAAAAACTTTAATGTTTCTTAGGTTATCTAGTTTATAGATTCTATTCGGTGATTTGATTCATTCAAAACAGGGCGGCAGTTTCTTAAAATAGAACATAGGGGTCAAATGCAATGTTTGGCTTTCATCTAAAAACTAAAGCAGTTACAGCAAAACTGACATAGGTGAAAGTGTTAAACAGGTTTAGATCTACCTGTCAAGTAATCTTCAGACCAATAGGACAACTTATTGTTGGTTTACTGTCCAGAAATAGATATTTTTACAGTTTGGGTTATGTTATATCTTTAATATTATTATAAAAAGAGAGAAAGTGTAAATTTACCAAATTGTTCAGCAAAGTAAGATCTACAAATAATTCAAATGCCTGAAACTGAAATTACAGCCAGGTGAGCTATATAAGGCTCTCATGAGCCTCTTGTTAAAGTTTGTTCTTATGCTGTGCTGTAACATCTCTGTACTTGGTAAGGTGAGGGTTTGGTGCAAACAAGCATGTTTAATCCCGCTACATTGTGTATATGCCTGTTGCAAATCATGAGTCTGTAATTTAGTGGTACATGAAGTACTTTGTTGCTGAATATCATTTTTTCACAAATTGTTTTGTTCATAAATCATGCAGATTAGGCCTTAAGTTGTCTCGTTTGAGTTGTCTTAAATTTGTCACTATGGGGCCTTTCATCGCTTCATATGTGGTATGGTTTTTGCTCATTGTTGAACACAATATGGTGAACTATAGTTGTTAACTTCTACGTCATATGGTCTCTGGTGGAGAGTTGTCTCATTGACAATTATACTAGATCTTCATATTTTCATATATGAAGATCCTTGTAAATTGATAGATATTTTATTAGTTATCTACTTTGAAATCGACACATTCAATCAGCAAATTTGACATAACTTTTGACGTTTTATTGTCTTTACAATGAATAACCCTGCAACCATATGAATGCACCATTTCAGCAAAAGTTTTGTGCATAGAGTTCTACTTATAAATTCATATATCATATAACATTATTTAGTGGTACATGAAGTACTTTGTTGCTGAATATCATTTTTTCACAAATTGTTTTGTTCATAAATCATGCAGATTAGGCCTTAAGTTGTCTCGTTTGAGTTGTCTTAAATTTGTCACTATGGGGCCTTTCATCGCTTCATATGTGGTATGGTTTTTGCTCATTGTTGAACACAATATGGTGAACTATAGTTGTTAACTTCTACGTCATATGGTCTCTGGTGGAGAGTTGTCTCATTGACAATTATACTAGATCTTCATATTTTCATATATGAAGATCCTTGTAAATTGATAGATATTTTATTAGTTATCTACTTTGAAATCGACACATTCAATCAGCAAATTTGACATAACTTTTGACGTTTTATTGTCTTTACAATGAATAACCCTGCAACCATATGAATGCACCATTTCAGCAAAAGTTTTGTGCATAGAGTTCTACTTATAAATTCATATATCATATAACATTATTTAGTGGTACATGAAGTACTTTGTTGCTGAATATCATTTTTTCACAAATTGTTTTGTTCATAAATCATGCAGATTAGGCCTTAAGTTGTCTCGTTTGAGTTGTCTTAAATTTGTCACTATGGGGCCTTTCATCGCTTCATATGTGGTATGGTTTTTGCTCATTGTTGAACACAATATGGTGAACTATAGTTGTTAACTTCTACGTCATATGGTCTCTGGTGGAGAGTTGTCTCATTGACAATTATACTAGATCTTCATATTTTCATATATGAAGATCCTTGTAAATTGATAGATATTTTATTAGTTATCTACTTTGAAATCGACACATTCAATCTGCAAATTTGACATAACTTTTGACGTTTTATTGTCTTTACAATGAATAACCCTGCAACCATATGAATGCACCATTTCAGCAAAAGTTTTGTGCATAGAGTTCTACTTATAAATTCATATATCATATAACATTATTTAGTGGTACATGAAGTACTTTGTTGCTGAATATCATTTTTTCACAAATTGTTTTGTTCATAAATCATGCAGATTAGGCCTTAAGTTGTCTCGTTTGAGTTGTCTTAAATTTGTCACTATGGGGCCTTTCATCGCTTCATATGTGGTATGGTTTTTGCTCATTGTTGAACACAATATGGTGAACTATAGTTGTTAACTTCTACGTCATATGGTCTCTGGTGGAGAGTTGTCTCATTGACAATTATACTAGATCTTCATATTTTCATATATGAAGATCCTTGTAAATTGATAGATATTTTATTAGTTATCTACTTTGAAATCGACACATTCAATCAGCAAATTTGACATAACTTTTGACGTTTTATTGTCTTTACAATGAATAACCCTGCAACCATATGAATGCACCATTTCAGCAAAAGTTTTGTGCATAGAGTTCTACTTATAAATTCATATATCATATAACATTATTTAGTGGTACATGAAGTACTTTGTTGCTGAATATCATTTTTTCACAAATTGTTTTGTTCATAAATCATGCAGATTAGGCCTTAAGTTGTCTCGTTTGAGTTGTCTTAAATTTGTCACTATGGGGCCTTTCATCGCTTCATATGTGGTATGGTTTTTGCTCATTGTTGAACACAATATGGTGAACTATAGTTGTTAACTTCTACGTCATATGGTCTCTGGTGGAGAGTTGTCTCATTGACAATTATACTAGATCTTCATATTTTCATATATGAAGATCCTTGTAAATTGATAGATATTTTATTAGTTATCTACTTTGAAATCGACACATTCAATCTGCAAATTTGACATAACTTTTGACGTTTTATTGTCTTTACAATGAATAACCCTGCAACCATATGAATGCACCATTTCAGCAAAAGTTTTGTGCATAGAGTTCTACTTATAAATTCATGTATCATATAACATAATTTACTTCGAAGATCTTTATAATAATGATCATAATGGGAGCACTTATGCCTCCTCTGATGGCCGTGCCAGAACTAGCAGGGAGAGACATCTGAGTATCTACAAATCAAAGTGTAAGGCATCGGGAAAAATATTACAAAAACATGAAAAACTTCTAGCTAGATCATAACATCATCTTAAATGTCTGAACAATAAATAATTTAGTCATGTTCAGTCTTTCAATCAATTTTCAGATTTATTGACTGTAGTGAATTCCGTACGGTTAAGACAACTTGTTTGTAGTCAATTCTAAATGTTGTTAATCTGTACAGGTAAATAACAACTACTAAACAGTCTAAACATTGACTGAACAGATTTTAATTCAAGCCAATTCTCGGAACAGTACTGATTTTCTGCAGTGGAAAAAAGTCTGAACATTGAATGAAAAAAAAACAAACAAATGACTTGATAGTTAACATGGTTAATTTATATAAAAATAAAGAGATATGGTATGATTGCCAATGAGACAACTATCCACCAAAAGTTCAAATGAAGTTGATACTGTTCAGTTTTTGAGAACTGTTCAGATCAAAATGATCTTCTTAAATGTATATTTAAACAATAAATACCTAGTATTAAATTAGATTTGATAAAGACATTGACACTAAAGATTGGTATTTATTGAGCGAAAATTTGTCAAAACGATTTTATAACATCATTATCTTCGTATATACATGTATATATATATCCGTTAACATTTGTTGCATCAGCATTAATTTTTCTTTAACACATTTTACTTAAGAATATTTTGCTTTATAGACCTAACGAAGATTTCTAAATAATATTTTCATGGATTGTATATAATCATGGTTTGATGGAGTAATGTCTTCTACTACAGAAAACATTGAGTTAAAATTCTGGTGTATACTTTGATCATTGATATTTCCAAATTCGACGAAAATAGAATTAATTTTCATTTAATCTAAAAAAGTATCTTATCTACGATCAGGGATTTATTATTTCTTTATCAAAGATATGTATGTGGGTAAGGAGCAGTTGTTTTGAGTTCTTTTAGAAGTTGAACGACAATGTTAATGATAAAAATTGTACCTACATATGACCACAACATTTGTGTTATGTCTCCTCGTTCGTATACAGTTGTATAACTTGGATATAAGGTTGCTTGTTTAACGGTAATGGAATTATCATAAGCAAGCATTACTCACTTTTATTATAGTACGGTCTATGCTCATAGCCTGGTTTACATCCACTACTATCAACACATTCACCATTAAAACGATCACATGCATTTTCAATACAACCATCACAAGATTCAGAACAATCCAACCCAAATGATCCTTTGCTACACTCTGAAAAAGTTAATTATCAATATATTTTGTTATCAGATGGAATATTTAAACACGCTGAGTTTCGTATCACGAACAATACTAATAACACCTAAAGAAGCACAATACTTGCAAACGGACTGTAAAGTACAATAATCATGACATTAATTAATTAGATCATTCATAACACCACTGCCTTAATTTACCATTCGAACTCTAATATATGCATCACGATCTTATTATAAATAAAAGCAGATGATATTAGTATACGACTTTTAAGAATAAACGTATTAAAATATTGCAGGATATAAACGAAAACAACTATTTCTTTGTGCATATATGATAGTGATATAATTCTTACCTTCATCGCACGATTGACCATGCCATCCCTTTTTGCAGCCGCCATCAGAGCAAATACCACTGATTTTTTCACACGGGTTGTTCAAACAGTAACACATTTTTGTGCAATTGGTTCCAAAGTGCCAATCCATACAAGCTTCAAAACAACAATATGCATATATATGTGCGTACATTGTGAGAAGATTGCAGTATATTCTTCATTTTAAAAGTAAAGCAACATTTTGAGTGGGAGCAAAATAAAAATGAGCACTGATTTTTTTAGGGTTTTTTTTTGTTCTAGTTTGTCAATGTTTTTTTTAAAGTTTTTTCAAAAAGGTTTAGTCGTTGTTGTCTGCTGAAATGTATGTCCCGTGTTCAAGTTTGAAAGAGTCCTAATGATAGATTATCAGGGGTTTCATTCTTTACAGACTAGATCATAAAGTTTCATATTCCACATAGTTCAGTCTCTTTTTATGTTATATTACGTTGTATTATGAAACTATGTTTATTTTTTTATTGTTACTTGACAAATGTGTTCATTATAAAATTTTGAAGAGCAGAAATTGAAAGAATTGTCAAAATGAAATTCTTAATTACCCGAAGTATAACATTGGTATGTTATAACACTTGTTTGGTTTTTTCGAGAAAAAATTGTATCAGACAGTCTGAAATAGGCGATATTATACAGAAAAGGACAACATTATAAAAACCCTGAGATATGTGCAACGAAAGTTATAGAAGATGGTAATATACGAAAAAGTTAACATAAACACCTAGTATTGTTTTTCATTTGATAAATAGACACAAAAGAAGGCCATTTGTTGAGCCGAAAATTTGTCAATACGATTTCATAATCTCATCTTCTTCGTATGTATATACAATTGAACATTTGTTGCGCCAGCATTCATTTTTCTGTGTAACACATATTACTTAAAGAATATTTTGGTGTTGTAAACCTATATAGACGAATATTTCTTTATACTCTTTTCATCGATTGCATATATAATCCTGCTTTGTTGGAATAATGTCTTGTACTACAGAAAACACTGACTTATAATTCTGGTGCATACTCTGATATTTCCGACTAGAGCTGAAAATATAATTATTTTTTGTTTAATCTAAAACAGTATCTTATTATCGATAAGGGATTTATTATTTCTTTACAAAACATTTGTATATATGTAAGGCGCTGTTGTTTCAATTTTTTTTAGAAGTTGACTGACACGGTGAATGATGAAATTTAGACCTCTATATGACCATAACATTTTTGTTAGGTCTAGTCGTTCGTATAAAGTTGTAATCCTTTGATATAGTTTGTTGGTTTAACGGAAATGGAAGCCTTATAAGCAAGCATTACTTACTCTTATTACAGTACGGTCTATATTCATACCCTGGTTTACATCCACTACTATCAATACATACACCATCACAACGATTACATATACTTTCAATACAGCCATCACAAGATTCAGTACAATACAACCCAAATTTGCCTTTGTCGCACTTTGGAGTAGCTAAATATTAATACATTTTGTTATCAGATATAATATTCAAACACGAAGAGTTTCGTATCATGAACAATACTAACACATACAGTAACACAATATTCGTAGATCATCACACGATTTACCATGCCAGCCCTTTTTGAAGCCTCCATCAAAGTAAATACCACTAAAATGTTTACACGGGTTGTTCAAAAAGTAACACATTTTTGTGCAATTGGCTTCAAAGTGCCAATCCACACAAGCTTCAAAACATTAATATGCATATATATGTGTGTACATTGTGACAAAATCGCAGTACATTCTTTATTTTAAACGTAAAGCAACATTTTGAGTAAGAGCAACATATAGATCAGTCATGTTTGTTTTTCTTCGTTTTTGTTCTAGTTTTTATTTCTTTAGGTTTTGTTCCAAACGTGTTGTCCTTGTTGCCTGCTTGAATATATGTCTCGTGTGCAAGTTTGAAAGAGTCCTGATGATATATAATCAGGAATTTCAAGTTTAACAGAGAAGATCATGCTGTTATATTTTCCGCATAGTTAAGTCTCTTTTTATGTGTTATTACGTTGTATTATGGAACTATGTTTTTTGTGTGTTTCTTTACAAACTTTAAAGAGCTGCAATTATAGAAATTGTCAAAATTCTTAATTACCTGAAGTATAACATTGGTGTGTTATAATACTTGTTTCGTTTTACAAGCAAAATTTGTATCGAACCGTCTAGAATAGGCGATATTGTGCAAATACGGACAACATTATATAGTCTAAAGATTTCCGCAACGAAAGTGATAGAAGATGGTAATATACGAAGAAGTTAACATAAACAACTAGTATTCTATTACATTTGATTAAAAAATTGACACTGAAGATTGCCATTTGTTGAGCCGAAAATTTGTCAATACGATTATATTGCACCTCTTCTTGGTATGATACATATATCATTGACCTTTTGTTGCGTCAGGATTCATTTTTCTTTAAGACTTTTTACTTAAACTTGTTAAAGAATATTTTGGTTTTTTAGTTTCTTAATATTCTTTTCATCGATAGCATATATAATCGTGCTTTGTTGTAGTAATGCATGGTACTACAGAAAACATTGACTTATAATTCTGGTGCATACTTTGATATTTCAAACTCGACGATAGCTGATAGTAGAACTATTTTTCATTCAATCTAAAAGAGTATCTTATTTACGATAAGGGATTTATTATTTCTTTATATACCTATATGGAGTTATTTTCTTTCAGAACGATAGGTCATTCTTTCGAAGGATCAACCCGGACGATACCATGTTTCAATGAAATATTCTCCAAGGCATAACATAATGATCTGTGTGAGGTCATTATTTTCCTTGATAAAAAAGCAAACTATAATTTACTTCAAAATTATATTCGTCTGATAGTTTTTGTTGCCGATTTGGGAATTTATTTTTTAAAGTTCAATTTATGATAGTTTTAAAAAAAATTGTCATTGCCCGAATTTTATTTTTAGAAACAAATAATGTGAAGTTTTGTTAATTTATCGCTACAATACAGAGATATTATCATATATGCGAGATGAATTTTAATGTAAAACTTTCAAATCACTTTAAAATAAAGCCAGATATAACATATTCGTGTGTAAGATTTTGAAAATCTTATTGATTCACACTGAATAGGTTGATTGATTGATGGTAACTTAACGTCCAGTGGCAAATATTTCATGCATGTTCAGGACGATACACACTGAATAGGAAATCGTACTGTGACCTACATTACATTGATTTTCGTTTTCGTGTAACATGTATTACGATTTCGTACCCCTACGTGCCAGTTCTTAACTTTTTTACTCTATCAAACGATTAACTAATAAAATATTCTTATATTCTATTGAATAACATTCATGTACCTCACAATGAGGTCGGGTTGGGGAAGGGTATATAATTATATCCTGATTATCTGTTAAAAAATGTATTGCTATTCAAAAGAAAATCATTCTGAATATTTCATTCGATTCAATTAAAATTGTTAAAAAAATAATCACTTTTCCGCGATGAAATGTCATTACAAATAGACAAAAAAAAAAAAACATAGCACCTCCCCCTTTCCATAAACTAAGTTGGTACAATAAATTACTTACAAAGTGTCTTGTTTTTTTCATACACCTTTATCAGATGGTAACAATTCATTTGTGTCTTACTTCGTACAGTTACAGTAATATTTTTTATTGTGAATGGATAATAATTTCTAAGGTTTATATCTAGATTAATTAGTAAGTTTTATTTCACATTCTAAATGAGCCGTAGGGCGTATTAAAACCTGAAAGCTTTAGAAAGGAATATCCAACTTTAGTGTGGTAGGTAAAATAGGATGCTAAATTTTGCAAATCTTTATAAAAACAATATTTTTTTGACGGTATTTAATTCAGATAATGCATATTTTATGGTTTTTTCTTGTCGTAGAACACACCTCGGGGTGTCAGGATTGCCAAAAGAAAGTCCTCCCTACGGTCGGTCTTTCATTTGATCAATCCTGACACCCCTTGGTGTGTTCTACGACAAGACAAACCTTAAAATATGCATTATCTATAACTTATCAAAAATATGTATATATGTAAGAAGCGGTTGTTTTAAGTTCTTTTAGACGTTGAACGACACGGTAAATGATGATAGTTAGAACTACATCATGTACAAATGACCATTACATTTTTATTAGGTCTAGTCGTTCGTATAAAGTTGTATTACTTGGATATAGTTTGCTGGTTTAACAGAAGTTTTATAAGCAAGTATTACTTACTCCTATTACAGTATCGTCCATACTCGTAGCCTGGTTTACATCCATAACTATAAAAACAATCACCATTCAAACGATCACATTTACTTTCAATACAATCATCACAAGATTCAGAACAATCCAACCCATATTTTCCTGTGCTACACGCTGAAACAGTTAATCATTAATACGTTTTGTTATCAGATATAATATTCAAACAAGCAGAGTTTCGAATCATGAACAATACTAACAACACCTTCAGTAGCACAATATTTGTGGACGGTCTGCTGAGTACAATAATCATGACATAAGATAATTTAATTATAATACCGCCTTAATTTACCATTCGAGCTAATATTTGCATCCCGATCTTAATATAAAGTAAAGCAGTTTATATATTGGTAATTGGCTCTCAAGGACAAAAGTATTAAATTATTACAGGAGATAAACGAATACAACTTTTTCTTTGTGTATAAATGATAATGATATAATTCTTACTTTCATCAAACAATATATCCTCTATGTCTAAATTACCCTGGCAAAAAATGTTTGGACTCGATGGTGTCTAATATCCGGCACGGTTACGGAGCATCAATAGACAGAGAAAAGGTAGTTTTCTGTTTATTTATTTGTTGTTTTTATGATATCGAAGAATATATATACATATATAACTATTTTCTATTGTGAGATGTAATAATTTCTACAACCGTTCTAGATTAACGGAGAAATAAGTAAAAATGCACGTCAAAATTACAAATTATGTGAACCTTGCCTCGAATTTGTTTAATTTCTCGTTAAATTGTTCACATGGTACGGAAAGAAAGATATTGAGATGGAGATTGCAAAACTAGTCACTTTGAGCACCTAAATAGTTGTATTTCTGCGTATGGAACGAAAGAAATGGGTCATGTCAAAATAGAAGCGCCCGGTTTTGTCTTTGTATAGAACCCGGTTTTGTTTATTTTATGAAAAGCAACGTTAACACCGGTATTCTGAAACAAAAAATAAATTTACAAATGGCTGATCATGTGGGTTTTCAAACCAGATACCTCAATAAAGCCTGTGGACAAGTTTAATTACATTGTTAAAGAGGAGAAGATTTTTGTAAGATAATTGGCAAAAACGCAAAGAAATGGTAAAAATCGTAATTAAAGGTCAATAATGCTTACAAGGATATCGACCAAGTCGACTTATTCGTATATATTGTCTTGCTGATCATTTTTGCTATGGATATAACTTTTATATATTTAAAGATAATAGACAGAAATGGAAAAAAGAAGAAATTTGTCATTCGAGGACATTAACTTCTATAAGAGTTCGTGTGAGAGTTTTGATGTATATGGACAAAAGGTAGAGCTCAACAATGTGAACATATCTGTTCCTGTTAAATTTTCTCTATCTATAGCTGTTTTACAAAAATAATAGAGAAAACTTGCATCCCCCTATGTTCTATTTTAACCCATGTCGGCCATCTTTGTTGACAAGCGGGGTCATCAAAAACTTTTTAAACTAGATACCCCAATGATGATGAAAACAGTTAAACATAAGTTCGTTAGACCTTTTAAAACCTACATAAGGTTGTGGATAAGGTTTGTTAAATGTATTGTAGCCCAGTAATTTCAGAGGAGAAATTATGTAAAAAATTAACGGAAGACGACGACCGACAGGGGCCAAGTGATGAAAAAAAACTCATATTTCCCTTGGGGTCAGGTAAGCTAAAACCAACCAAGAATTCCAAACGAGATTGCACCGTTCTTGAATGAAAAAAATGTCTAACAATTCATAATTAAGGCTTACACGAACGAGATAAACTAATCATACATGGCAAAATAACTTCAATTGCGTTTTTTTTTAACAAAAATGAATACTACGTATTATTTATACAAGAGTGACTGTACGCACTGACATGTCGCGACTGCTAGAATGATCGTTATTGAATTTATTTTGAAGGTCTGTAAGATAAATAATTAAATAATAGTATCACATAAAATTAACATGGTTCATGGAACCATAAAAAAAAGTCAAAGTCTGATAAAACCTGCCAGACGGACATGAACACATTACAATCATTAAAACAAACCAACAAAAAACCAACAAAAAATATAAAACTTAACATTTACCAATAAATCAAGAAAATAAGTTCAAGCTCACATAAATAGTCATTTGCGCCATACAAGCAAATAGTTGACCTATTACTTATGATATTAGAGATGCGGACTTGAACACGAAATGTTAACCTTGATCATAGATATCAGCCTTTATCAGCTATTCATTTTGTAAGGAAATAGATGAACCATGAAAATGATGTCAAGGGCAATGGACATATATATGACAGATAGAAACATCGTTACATAAAAGATCTGTGTACGAGGTTTGTTGTAGTCAAACCTGCTAACTTCTGACATATAAAGCTTCATACAAATAGTTCAAGCCGCATCCCTTGGTCTCGCATTCCGACAATTCCAAAATATCAATGTGAATTTTTAGAATAAACATGATAATCCTACTCACATACATCCAATTTTGCGGGTGTCCCTGGTTTCTTAGTTCTTATAAAATTTTAAGTTGGTTTACGATTTAGTTGTATAACATCAGTGGCGAATCCAGGCGGCGTATAGGTCGCACGCCCCCTACCCCACCTTTGATGGCCCAAAAAATATTAAATCTTTTTCTTTACGATTTATTTTAGCATAAATTCGTCCAAAACATTGTTCGCTTCGCTACGCTCTGTGGTATGTAAGCCGTTTGAATTACGCCTACTTAAAAACTGAATCCGTCACTATATATTGTCAATTTACGATAATCATAACACAATGGAGAGATAACAGAATTGCTTGATGGCCTGAAACTATTATTCTAATTTATACTTAGTATTATAGTTACAATTGGGGATAAATAGATTTGATTTTTAATGCATGATTATTGTAATCCTTTTCTCACCATAAACATTCATTTTCTATGGCGATTCTGCATGCATATATACATTTGTCTGATTATCATGCCTTAAAATGAACATTTAGCCCTAAGAAGATTTATTTTAAACGATCATAGGAAAGATTACACCCCTAGATTACTTATAAAGATAACCATCCTGTTGTGCAAGAAAATAACATATCAAATGTGCGTCCTTCAATTTTTAAAACCATGAACTCTAATTTTAAGTTTAAACACTCAAATTTACATAATTCATATAAAAAAAACATATAGAGAGCTTAAACCTCAATTTGCGGTTTAACCTTCATTTCTATCTATTTCGCAGTAAGAGTATTTTTTTTTAAATGCAAAGCAAAATAATAATTATAATTATTTTTGTTCCAATAAAGTAGGAATTCAAGTGTTTGAAGATTCAAATAAATAATAAGTTGTCCTCTGTGAGAAATCGTTTTCCAACCAGCCACAAAACTCCTTTTAAACGCTGAGGTTCAATTATGTTATGCAATTATGCATTTTTTTTTCTTTGACAAAATCGGGTTCTGCCTTGTGAAATCAAGGACAAAACCGGGTTGTACACATTGACAAAACCGGGTGCTTCCATTTTGACATGACCCGTTTCTTTCGTTCCATACACAGAAATAAAAGTATTGTGGTGCTCAAAGTGACTAGTTTTGCAATCTCCATCTCAATATCTTTCTTTCCGTACCTTTCTTTCCGTACCATGTGAACAATTTAATGAGAAATTAAACAAATTCGAGGCAAGGTTCACTCAATTCGTCATTTTGACGTGCATTTGTACTTATTTCTCTACTAATCTAGAACGGTTGTAGAAATTATTACATCTCACAATAGAAGATAGTTATATATGTATATATATTCTTCGATATCATAAGAATAACAAATAAATAAACAGAAAACTACCTTTTGTCTGTCTATTGATGTTATGTCACCGTGCCGGATTTTAGATACCATCGAGTCCAATCATTTTTGCAAGGGTAGTTTGGACACAGTGATACCACACCAGCCTTTGCAGCTGCCATTAAAGCAATTTCCAGAAGAATTTTCATTCGGGTTGTTCAAACAGTAAAAAATGTTTTGTGCAATTGGATCCAAAGTGCCAATCCACACAATCATCAAAATAATAATATGTATACATAAGTGCCTACATTGTGACAAAATTGCAGTTCATTTTTCATTTAAAACTAAAGCAACATTTTGAGCGGGAACAAAATATAGATAACACTGTTTTTTTTAGGTTTTTTTTTTTCTTTGTTTTTGTTCTAGTTTGTATTTTTTTTTTTTTTTTTTTTTTCAAAACTTTTGTCGTTGTCTTCTTAATTGTACGTCCCTTGTGCATGTTGTGAAAGTTTGACACAGAACAGAAAAAAATAAAATAACAAAAATACCGAACTCCAAGGGTAATTCAAAACGGAAAGTCCTTTCTAAAATGACAAAATCAAACTTTCAAGCACACCCAACGAATGGAAAACAACTGTCATATTCCTGACTTGGTACAGGCATTTCTTTATGTAGAAAATGGTGGAGTAGATCATGCAGTTTCATAATCCGCATAGTTCAGTCCTTTTTATGTTATATCACGTTGTTTTTTCGAGATTTCCTATAAAATGACGAAACTCGACATAACCAACCTACAATGACGGAGGGGATCGTAGACTCATTGATATTTTTGCGTTGAATACACATATTTTGTAGGAATAATTGTTTTTCAAAAATCAACACAATTTTCTATTTCAAATCTTTACATATTTTGTTAGATTCTGGATGATTTTATAAGCAACAAACTTTTAAGGGAATAATTAATCCAGTTACAGGTAATCAAACGCACCGACCATTACTTGGTCATTTAACTTGACCCATATATTTAGTTCTCAAAGGATAAATTCTTAAAAGTTTTAAAATCAAAATTTAGCTTAAAAGAATAAAATAATTAAATCAAAAGCGAGATGATGTTCTCATATTTTATTTATAAGTTATAAGGTTGTCACAGGGGTTTCAAACACGCCGGAATATCAAAAGTGTACGCGACTTACTTCTTTTTCGTATACTTATATCATTTATTTCAAGATACTTTTGTCAGAGGGAGAAATTCAGATAACTGATGTATCTGTATCTGATGGAACTTTATCATCTTTCTGTATAATTTGATAAGTTATAATTTGCTAGGATGTATCTTCGAGAAAACAATTGATGACCATTTACTAAATCAGTAATTA